TTTATCCTTTAATCCTTGGGTTTCAGTGTTAATTCATGTTTATACACAATAATAACATAATCTAAGCCCAAGAATCCATACCTGATGATAGCCCTCGAAACCCTCTTCAAAAATCGCCCAAAATCTCCTTAGTCCGAAGTCCAAAATGTTGTTCTTTCAAAAATTCGCGAAGATGATTAATTTCACTTAACTGCCAGGCATTTCGCTTCTGCGGATCCAGTACCGCTTTTGCGGCTTCCGCTTATGCGGCCAACGTCCGCTTTTGCGGACCTTTCACTTAAGGCAACCTTCCGCTTCTGCGGTCCCCAATCGCATCTGCGGGACCGCTTAAGCGATCCAATGCTCCGCTTCTGCGGAACCTGACCAGGGTTCCAAATTCCGCTCCTGCGAGGTCTAGCTCGCTTCTGCGAGGCCGCCTTTGCGGTCCTCCTTCCGCTCCATGAGGGGATCATTGTCCAACACACTCAGGCAGGTGAGTTCATTTATAGAAAGAGTGGACAAATCTACAATGTAAATATTGTTAACTCTTTTTCCCTGCAAACCAATCTTGTCAGTGGTAAGATTAATCACAAAGCATTTGGTAGAGGTAAATGCTACAAGATTACCTCTGTCACACAGTTGTGACACACTGATTAGGCTATATTTCAAGCCATCTATCAAGTAGACATTCTCAATGGAGTGTGAGTCTGTCTTACCTACCTTTCCAACCCCAATAATCTCGCCTTTCTTCCCATTTCCAAAAGTGACATTACCTCCTTTTATGTCCTCAAGTGAAAGGAACCGGTTCTTGCTTCCAGTCATATGTTTTGAGCAGCCACTATCCATGTACCATATATGGCTACTTCCCTTCACTTGGACCTGCAAAAAGAAATCAGGGTTTAGTCTTAGGAACCCAAACTAGTTTGGGTCCCTTTCTATAGGCAAAGGGGTAAATCAAATTCTTTTTGGCCCACCCAAGCAGCCTAATTTTCTTTTGAACAAAGGTTTTGTTCTTTTGACTGGCCTTTTCTTTTGCATTACATTCATTTTTGTAATTACCAGTCTTGCCACAATGTGTGCAGATTTTGTTTTCAGGAAGAGTGAGGTACTTGCTTTTGGGCTCCCACTTAGGTGCTTGTGTCCCATAGCCAAGTCCTCTCTTGTTGCTACTGTGGTGTTCTTGTAGCCAGGATAGTGCATCAGAAGCCTTATTCCATTTGCAAGTTCTGTCTAGTTCATGTTTTACCTTCCCTAGGTCTTCTTTTAAGGTTCTTATCTGCTCATCTTTTTTGTACAACTCATCCTTCATTTTTCCTAGGTTTTCTTCTAAGGTGAGATGTGTGTGATCAGCTTTCTTCTTACTCGTTCCTAATTTCAGTTTTAGATTTTCAGACCTAAGTTCTAGGATGTTGGTGTCAAGTTCAAGAACCTGGTTCTTCAACTCGGCATTTTTACTGTCACTCTCATTAGCCCTAAATTCTAGGATTTTTGCACTTGGCTTTTAAGATCACACACTCCCTAGACAGTTGTTTCTTCTCATTGTTAATTATCTCAGACACATCGATGAAGTCTAGCAATAGTTCAGACAACCTTTCTTTAGACAGAAATTTAATCTTGTCTTTGAGATGAATCACACTTACCTCTTGTTCATCATCTGATTTTCCGATGGCCGTAAGTGCTTGTTCATCTCCAGCTTCATCTTTTGAATCTTCATCTGATGTTTCTCCCCAAGCAGCAACCATTGCCTTTGTTGATCCTTTGTTCCTTTTGGGTTGAACCTGTTCCTTCTTCATGTTCCTTCATTCAGCCCTTTCCTTCTTCCATTCAATTTCCTTTTGGGTTGCACAATTCTTGATCATGCGATCAGTCTTGCCACATTTGTAGCAACCCTCGTTAGTTTGTTTCTCAGGAGCCTTTGATTTGTTGAAGGTTGTACCTCTTGAAGAACCCTTTCCTCTCATTAGGTACTTTTTGAAATCCCTTGTGATCATGGCCATTTCATCATCCTCCAGATCTGCACCTTCAGCTATTCTGAGAGCCACACTCCTTTCCTTCTTGGGTGCATCCATTTTCATGGTTTGCCTTCTCAGTTCATAGGCAGTGCGGTTTCCAATAAGTTCATCCAACTTGAGAGTAGCAATGTTCTTTGATTCCTAAATAGCAGTGGTTTTGCTTTCCCAAGTCACTGGTAAAACCCTTGTCAAGATTTTCTCAACCCTGTCTTCTTCAAGGATAATTCTCCCAAGAGATTTAAGTTCATTTGTTAGTGTTGTGAACCTTGTATACATCTCCTGAATAGTTTCACCTTCCTTCATAGTGAAATTCTCATACTGAGAATATAGCAGTGTTCCTCTTGATCTCTTTACTTGAGGAGTTCCTTCATGAGCCACTTGTAAAGTGTCCCATATCTCCTTAGCAGTGGTACAACTTTGAATCCTGCTGTACTTGTCTGGACCTAGTCCACACACAAGCTATTTCTTGGCCTTGGCATTCTTTTCCCATTTCTTCAAGTCTTCATCAGTGCAGTCAACTCTTGTTTTTGGCACATCCACTCCTTCAGTATTCTTCTTTGTTGTCGCCAGGGGACCATCAATGACTATGTACCAGAGTTCATAATCTTCTCCTATAATGTGATCTCTCATCCTATTCTTCCACCAAGAATAGTACTAACCATTAAAGAGTGGAGGCCTAGTAGTGGATTGCCCTTCCCAGTTTCCAGGTGGTGCACCCATCTTGATCTTTTCCTAAGGTGTTAACCTCTTCAAGGTTAACCTACTCTGATACCAATTGAAGTTTTAAACTTCAATACCACACAAGAAGTGGGGGGGGGGTGATTTGTGTGGTACCCAATTTTTGCTTAACTGAACTCTAGAATGACCCGGTTCTTCTATGTGTTCCAACTACTACTGTTTGCGGAATAATAAATAAAAAAAATAAAGAACACAGAGATTTTTACGTGGAAAACATCTGGCTCAAAAGGTAAAAAAACCACGACCTACTACTCAATAGGATTTCTCAAACTTCCACTAAAATCACTGAGCCAAAACAGCATTTACAAAACTCTTTGTAAACCTAAAGATTAACTCTAATCCCGTTTTGGCACACAGCCTCAACTGTTGCGACAACTTCAAGTTAACTCTAACTTGAACACTCTAGGTACCTAATACAATTGCTTCTATGAAAGCTGAAAGGTACAATGTAAAATCTCCTACTACAATTGAACTAGAATAAAAGATAGACACTTGAAATTGGTTCTTCTATCTCGTTCAAGTAGCTTCAGGATTGCACGCTTGAATCACACATAAATTGCTTGCAAAATCGCCTTGCTCTTTTGCTCTCAATTTAAGTTTAACTTCTGCTTATGTGCATTGCCTGTAAAAGAGAACAACACTGATATTTTTGATGGGTTAGTAATTAGAGATTGACTAGGATACAAGTACTACTCTTCTATCGTAGGAGAGTTCAAAGTGATCTCAAACTCTAACACTATCTTCTTCCTAAACTGTGTTTTCTTCATGTAAGGAGTCTTTCCCTCCTTATCCAATATGCAACCTTTTCGATCAGATCAGGAGATATCGCTTCTTGATCAGTTAGATTTATCTCCTTCACGTGCATCTCACATGTACAGGTTGATCATGACTGTGCTTCACAAGCTAGACCTGGTCCATGTCTGAGTTCTTTTGTCAATCTTCAAAACTTCACCTGTTCTTGGGCCAACAACTTGACTTGGTCTAAGTCACGGGCTTTCCTCTCCCTCACCTTGGCCAACCGGTGTCCCCTCCTTTGCCCTCGATCTCCTCGTACAAACGAGCAAACGCTGCTTTCTTAGCCGTCGTAACTGCTAACTTTGCCTCTTTCTTCGCCTTTATGTAACACTCCCGATAAGTCCTTTTTTCCTCCTCATTTGTACTCTCTACTAGCTTCAAATAAGCAGCTTTCTTAGCTTCCACTTTACCTTGAACCTCTCCATTCCACCACCAGTCCCCTTTATGTCCCCCAGGAGAACCCTACGTTACCCCTAAGACCTCTCCAGCAGCTACCCTAATGCAATATGCAGTCATGGACCACATACTAGACGCGTCCCCCATACTCGTCCAGGCCCTCATAGCCAACAACTTCTCCCCTAACTCCTGAGCTTTGTCCTTGGTCAAGTTACCCCACTTGATCTAAGGTTGCCTGCACCCCGCCCTCTTCCTCCAACTTCTCTTGATCTCCAGGTCCATAACTAGAAGCCTATGTAGGGTCGTGAGGTGCTCACTCGGGATGACCTTGCAGTCAGTGCACAAACCTTTATCGCATTTCCTGCAGAGAAGAAAATCAATCTGAATCTTGCCCATTAAATTTCGAAAAGTGACCAGGTGCTCTTCCCTCTTCGGGAAACTCGAGTTAGCTATAACCGATTCAAAAGCTCTAGCAAACTCCAACAGTGAATTACCTCCCTCATTCCTATCCCCAAAACCGTACCCGCCATGCACATCATCATAACCCCCTGCACTAGCCCCAATATGACCATTGAAATCTCCGCCAATGAACAACTTCTCTGTGTGCGGGATACTACGCACCATCTCGTCCAAATCATCCCAAAATTGCTTCTTGACCTCTTGGTTCAAACCTACCTGAGGAGCATATGCACTAATCACGTTTACAGTAAACCCACCAACTACCAGCTTAATACTCATCAACCTGTCATTTACCCTCCTAACCTCAACCACGAGCTCCCTGAGATCCCTGTCTACTAAAATACCTACCCCATTCTTACCCTTAGTGCTCCTTGAGTACCATAGTTTAAACCCGTCTACATCTCGGGCCTTAGTACCCTTCCATCTAGTCTCCTGAACACACGCTATGTTGATCTTCCTCTTCTGGAGAATCTTACCTTACTCTATATACTTCCCCGTCAACGTCCCAATATTCCAAGACCTAATTCGCAACCTAGAGGCTTTCTTACTCCCCTTCCTACCCCTGGACCCTACCCCCAGCCCCACCCGAGGACATGATCTTACTCTCACATCATTCACTACCGCCACTATAAGCAAAAGGTATTAGGTAAACACTACCACTAAGAACAAAAAACGGGAACAAAGGACTACAAGTTACGAACCAAAGAGCTAAAAATAACTCAAAGGAGTGACTAACAGGATTAAAATGGATAGACGAAACCCTACCAATTTTTACAAAGTTGGACAGAAAAATTCCAATGTACAACCAAATCAAACAAGGTGTCAATCAAATTGTTACAAGAAGCAGACCCAAAAGTGACTAATACCAGCCAAACCTACAATTTTAAATTCTAGTACCCAGTAACAAGAAGCAGATTTAAAAGTGGTGAATGCTAAAAAGAACCAAACTTTGCAATTTTTAAAAATCCAAAATACCCATTCTTAAGCTAAACTGAACAGAAGAATTCCACTATACAGCCAAATCAAACAATATATCACTTCAATTGTAACAAGAAACCGATTTAAAAGTGGCTACTACTAAGAAGAACAAAACTTTGAAAAGAATAACTAAAAAGATTAACACCTAGAAGCAGATTGTTTAGATTCTTTAGAGAAAAAAGGGTGCAATTATACCAGTATCAAAGAACCAATATGCAATATAGAGTAATAGAGTAGGAACTTTAGAACCTGGTTTTGTCGTCGAGGAATTTAGTCGCTGGAGACGTAACAACTCGTAGCTTCCGTCAAAAGTCCGGCCGCCGACGGTACTATTCTTTGCCATCAACTATGGGTTCCGATAAAGGGGGAGGAGAAAGAGAAGAGAAAGGAGATAAAGGATATTTATTGAACTCAAATTCGGAGCCGAAAGTACTTAAAATCGCTGAAACCAACACAAACTTTACCGTAAGCTTTGGTAAATTTGCAAAATAGAGTACGTCGAGCGCAAATCACAACTTTTCAATGGATTAAAAAGCAGAGGATTTTTATCAAACTCAGATTTGGAGCCGCAAGTGCTTAAAATCGTTGAAATTGACAAAAACTTTACCGTAAGATTTGATAAAACAAATAGAAATTCAAATATTTTTAACAAAAGTTGGAATCTTGTTCAATTCTTGAATCAAATAAAATAAAATAATATAATTTCCAGAAGTTTTCTTTCTGTTTAGTAAATGTGGAAGAGAAATTAGGGATTGTGGTTTTTATTTTATGATACAAAGAAAAGGTATCTGAATGAGAAACAAGAGTGAAAAAGAAAAATAATCGGAAAGAAGATTGTGCGAGTGTAGTACCAACTTCCAAAAGGGTTTGATGAAACTTTGGCATTAAAAAACGCACTTCTCTGAGATTGTGCTTGTTAACTGATTAGTCTTAGTGTTTCAGGTTCTCTAAATCGGAGGAAATGGATGCAAATGAGATTGTGACAGAAAATAGATTAAGAATAAAAACTAGCTATAAATCAGTTAATTACTCTTTCATAGGGTACAATATTGTTAAATACTACTACGAGAAAAGTTATAATCTATTGAGATTTACAAACAAAAATCCTTAACATTGAATTCCTAGTTAATTAGTTAACAAAAAATATAATCCCAAAAGTCCCCCCAAAAAAGTGATTTAGAAAATATTATATACTTTAAGTTATGGATTATATGTGATGTTGTTAGGAAATATTATTTATGACCAAAATTTTGAATGGAGTGTACTTAATATTTTATTTTTTATTTTATTATTATGATGACCTGTTTATGAATATGGTGTACTTATTATTATTTTTAATATTATTAACTTATTTCACTAATTTTGATAGAATTTGCATGAATTTAATTACTTAATTTATATATAAGACGTAATTAGTGATAAATTAGTAGAAATTGGGAATGGGCAGAATATACCTTTTTACTTTATTAATTATCCTAATTTTCCTTAACCACTTAAAAATGAGTTACTTTGCAAAGAATTATATCAGGGAGGGGGGAGGGGGGGGGGGTGTCGTAGGATTTATGGACCCCTCCCACCAAATCTAAACCATGGTCGACCTGTAAAAGCCCTAAAACAAAAAACGAGACAGAAGTCAGAACTAATCCAATTACTCATCTCTAGTGTGTGATAAAACGAAAACCCCAGTAGGGTTTTGTTTGATCCTTTCTCTTCAATCATCGTTGCAATGGGAGCGAGTCGAAAGCTACAGGGTGAAATCGATCGAGTTCTGAAGAAAGTTCAAGAAGGCGTTGATGTCTTCGATAGCATATGGAACAAGGTACCAATTCTTTTTTTTTGTTTGCCGTTTCTACTACTTCAGTAGCCCACATTTGCAGAAAGCTTTCTTTAATTGAGTGTTCTTTCTTCAGGTTTACGACACGGATAATGCGAACCAGAAGGAAAAATTTGAAGCGGATTTGAAAAAGGAGATCAAAAAGCTTCAGAGGTATAGAGACCAAATCAAAACATGGATTCAATCAAGTGAAATCAAAGATAAAAAGGTACCAATTCAGGCTGTTTTGTTTCCGCTTTACATAGTACTATTCAATTCAGTCTTGGTAGTTAGATGCATTTACTCGTCAATCACTAATACTAGCTGTGCTTATAAGACTTGCTCTATCAATAGAATTGAAAGTTAGTGATTTGTGCTCTCTCAATTTCATAATGCATGCTGCTCTGGGGAAACATAGTATTTCGGCTGGAAATGTTTGATTTCTTGTCACTTATTTCTGCCTGTTTGGTGTCAAATTTAACCTGACATTGATAAAAGTATTTGGCAGCCACCCAAAGATCTGTAAGTGCCTTGTCTAAAAGAATGCTGAATATCGCGAACTCCTCAATTTTAGTTGATTGACATCAAACTAATAGGATGATTCAGACCTGATTATTATTCTAAGGAAAAAGAATTGCAACAACAACAACATAACTAGTATTATCCCACACTGTGGGGCCTGGAGAGGGTAGTGTGTACGCAGAAGGCAGACCTTACCCCTACCTTGTGAGGATAGAGAGTCTGTTTCCAATAGACCCTCGGCTTAGAAAAGCATAAGCACCGCATTAAAGAAAATATAGACAAGAAGGGACAGTACCAAAAAGCCATATAAAAACAGAATAAAAATAACAAGATAGTAAGATCAACAATGAAAGAAAACAACGGTTAGCCATAAAAACCTGCTACCAACGGAAAGCGAGACTGCGTGCCAATACTACTGTTATGAACACTCTAGACTACCTACTGTACTAACCTAATCCTCGACCTCCATACCTTCCTATCAGGGGTCATGTCCTCGGTCAGCTGAAGCCAATGATGTCAAAGGCTCATTTAAGGCGCGCTTAAGCTCCGAAGCTCAGAAAAGCTCAGCGAGTGCGCTTCGCCTCGCTTTTTTTATGAAGTGAATATTATTAACAAAAGGCATCAAGAAGATGCAGATGTAACAAAGAAACAGAAAGTATCAAAAAAATATGAACAAAAGATCTATCATTAGACTAAGGAGCTGATAAGTTCCAAAAAGGATTTAGGGCCAGCTAAAAAGATTAACTAAACATTTGGCTTTAAGAGAATGATTGGCAGTTGAGACCCCATCAAAGCATCTATGATTCCTTTTGGTCCATATACACCACAAAATACAAGCAGGAACCATGGCCCAGATCCTTTTGATGGTTTTATCAACTTTTCATGAGCACCAACTCACAAAAGCCTCCCTAACACTACATGGCATAGACCAATGCAGACCAAAAAGAGTTAGGAACATGTTCCACATGTCTGTTTCAACTAAGCAGTGAAGAAACAAATGATTAATTGACTCAGACTTGTAGAGGCACATGTAACACCTATTAGGTAGCTGAAAATTTCTCCTGATGAGATTGTCTTGTGTTAACCAAGCGCTCGCTTAAGTTGCGCTTCAGTGTAAGCAAGGCACTAAGGCGTGTGCCTTATTGCCCATGAGTTCTATCTTGAATCAGGAAATACTTAATAACAATAATAATCAACAAATAAGTGTATTACGTTGTTAAGTAAAACATTATGAGTGAAGTTGTTACTTTTTTTTCTTGAATTTTTATATATATATATATATATATATTTCATTCATTGCGGCTTTTTTTACAAAAGCCCACATTTTAATTGCGCTTTGTGCTTAAAGCTCCAATAGACCTCGAGCGCTTTTTAGAGCTTTTCGCTTTTGACAACACTGGCTGAAACTGCGCCATGTCTTGCCTAATCACCTCTCTCCTCCTCTTTTTTGGCCTATCTCTACCTCTTCGTAGTCCCTCCAATGTCAACCTCTCACACCTCCTCACCGGGGTGTCTGTGCTCCTCCCTTACATGCCCAAACCACCTAAGCCGCGCTTCCCGCTTCTTGTCCTCAATAGGGGCCACACCCACCTTGTCACGAATAACCTCATTTATGATCCTATCGAACCTGGTGTGTCCACACATCCATCGCAACATCCTCATCTCTGCTACCTTCATCTTCTGGACATGAGCGATCTTGACTGGCCAACACTCCGCCCCATACAACATCGTTGATCTGACCACCACTCTGTAGAACTTACCTTAAGTGTAAATGAACTATAAATGAAGAAATGTATAGAAATCTCCAGATAAGATTACAAAATTCTAGGAGAACCTAGTTAAAGCTATTAGTCCGGCGAGTATAAGCTGCTTCAGAAACCTAGACTATTGTGATCATTCACTTTTGCTGTTCTTGATCTTAACTAAAAGAATAAGTTTTAACTGTACAAGAAACTGCGCATGGATG